GATTTCTGCTGCCAATACACCTCTTCTGCTTCCCATTGGCGAGTCAGTTCCATTTCAAGGTTTTTTACCTCGTCCCAATTTATGGCGTGATTGGATTTGATATGATCAATCTCTACTTGGAGTGTTTTGATATTCCGAAGTGAGTTGGTAGTCCCAGCCCTACTCCAATCATAGAGAAGATGCCTCAGATTCTTAAGTTTTTCCCAGAGCTGATACATCGGAGTTCCAGAAATTTGCTCCTGCCACACATAACTGACCATTGCCCTGACTTCCGGGTTGTCAGCCCACCGGGCATCAAACCGAAACAGAGGCCGACTTTGGCGAACAAAAGGTTTATCAGCTAAGAGCAGCGCCCGGTGATCCGAGCCAAGGTCAGTGCAGTGTTTAACAAGGGTATCAGGGAATCGATCTATCCACGAATGGGAACAGAGAGCCCTATCCAGATGTTCCCGAATGCAAGCATTACCAAGGCGCTTATTTGTCCAAGTGAACGTATCCCCTTGGTAACCGGGATCATGGAGCCCAAGATCAGTGATAAAGTCACAGAGACTAGTTGATTGGGCACTGTTCCAAGCATTGCCTCCATCCTTTTCATGAACGTGCAAGGTGGTATTGAAATCACCAATAACCACAAAAGGGAGGTGGATGGAAGCGCAGACATTGCGAAGATGAGTCAGCTGACTAGCTCTAAGAGCGGTGTTACAACTAATGTAAACACAAAAAACAACATAAGAAAAATCCATATCATTAACTTCAATTCCAATACAAAAATCTGACTGAAAGAACACTGAAGCACTAACTTCGGGAGACCAAGCAACAACGAGACCACCTGATGCATCAACGGCATCGACAAAAAAAGAAAACGAAGAATCGAATCCTAAACCCCGCAGACGGCGGGCAACAACCTTCCGGCGTGCTCTTGTTTTTTAGAAGAACACAAGGTCCTGTTTATTCGATTGGACTAATCCAAGAGCCGAGCGGAATGTGAGGGTTGGTCCAATACCCCTCACATTCCAGGCTAAGAGCCTCATCTATCTGGCTGGGACCAATTCAGGCTGGTTTCCTCCACCATAGCAGTCTCATCTTTCTATTCCACAAACTGTCGTTTTGGAGTAGGGGTTTCACAATCTTCCCCATCCATTTTTTGGAATGCTCTTTTTCTTTCATTGTTTAGTATGGCCGCAAAATTCGACCCATATTCATTCGCTACTCCCAGCTCCCCCTTTAAGCTCGAATCATTGTCCCCGCCAAGTTCACCACCGAGAAAAATGGGAGCGACCTTCGAAACTTGAGGGGAAAAGGGGGTTTCAAAATTCAAACCAGCCTCAAAGGCTTGAACCACCTGCTGGACATGACCAGCCTTAGGCCCCGACCTTCTGCTTTTGATTTCAAAACAATGTTCCTCTCCCTCCGGGCTAGACTCCGTCATCGCCTTCACCGGGGGCGGTGCAAAGGCCGAAGCCACCTGGATCGGAACCTCCACCCAAGAACCTTCATCAATAGTCACCTTGCTGTTCTTCTTCTTAGGTGTAGGTTGAGCCTTAGACTCCAACATCTTCTCTTTATGTTTCTTCTGACCAGCTTCATCAGAGAGAGGTCGGCGGGCAGAAGCTTTCACTAGACGCCGAGGGGCCACCTTGCTGGCCTGGTCCGCCGCCCCAACCACCTGTTTACTTGGATCAGCTGCCTCCCGTTCTTCATCGAGCACCGGCCGGGCCACCAGGTGCTCCGACCCCGCCAGGGAAGCAAAAAGGGGACCTTCCTCGTCCTCAGATTCCTCCGCCAATAGCAGCCGCCTTCGTCGGGTCTGACTTTCATCAAACTCATCTGCACTACCCGCCGAGATTGGGGATGTGATCACCGCCTGTCTGGCCATTTTAGGCCCGCCTCTTCCATTGGGCCCATCATCATGGCGGTCCACAACCCTTGGTAGCAGGCCCAGCTTTTTGCTGTTCTTGGACTCCCCATGGGTTGGGCCCTGTTTCCCTTTCCCTCTATCTCTCCGCTGGATGGTACCTGCTACTCTCAGCTTGGGCGAACGCGGGATGGGAAAACCTTTCGGACTCCGCCGCAGATTCCCCTGTGACTTTCGCAGCATTGGGGCAGAGCCCTCTCCACAGTTCCCATCTTGCACCCCGGTCCTCTTCTCTTTGTCGGCGATCCCCTCCCCCGAGAATACCTGCCGTCCGGCATCCGTCTCTCGGTCCAGCTTGGGAATAGATTGGGCGCCCCTAGCATTGGTGTTGGCCAGCTTGGGGTTATTATGTGCGCCTCTGTTATTGTTTACCCATACCGTTTTCAACTTTCCTTGGAACGGGATGGTGATGTCATCCGCATCATAAATACGAGTGCCTAGTTTCTTGGTCATCATGTGCGGCCCAAATCGTTCTTTGCGATTTGGGGGATCGAACGAACATTCTCTCTGGAAGTGCCCCACCCTTCCGCAATGAAAGCAGAACGAGGGGAGGTGTTCGTATTTAAAACGCACCCAAAATTCTCCCGTTTCCTCACTAGCAGCCATTACCTGCGATCGCAATGGCCTGGAGAAATCAAGCATCACTTTCACTTTGATAAAACTTTTCCCTGACTCTTGGCAGGAATAGACGCCAGCCTCAAGGACTTGCCCTAACGTCGGCCCAGCAACCTGCATTCCAAATTTTGCAGTGCAGCAATCGTCCTTCACGTCCCAAAGTTGCACCCTAAAGGGAGCAATGGCCAGCTCCTCAAACGTCTTTCGTGATATCGAAGGGGACCATGGCCGAAGGTTGATGATCCTATCGTTCACCACCCATGGGGTTCGTTTGAGAACCCAGATTTTGGCTTCTTCATTCGGTAGAACGAATTCAAAAAGCCCATGTTTGGCCGGCAGCACCTTGATCCTACCCTTGCATTGCCAAGGGGAATTGACTGATTCCCGAAGCTCGAGCGTCGTGACCCGCGCCATGGTGAACACTCGCCCAAGCAGGGTATGGGAGCTCCGGGCCTTGACGGATTGGACTTCCTCGAGGTCAAATTGTACCACCTGGTCGTTGCTAACATGAGCCGCCATCTTGATCTGCACAGGGGAAATATGACCCATTTCATCAAGATTATCCTCATGTGCTATCATATCATGGCTCTGCGTAGCTCGAAGAGCAGGGGAAGAGGTGGTGTGGTTCATTTCCATCGCCCACCCTGAAGAATCAGTATGAGAAAGAAGGTTACCTGGGGAAGAAAGACGTCTGAGACTATGGGTTGATCTCCAACGCCCACCCTGCTCTCTATCGTGATGCCGCACTTGTTCCTTCGCAAAAAAACGAAAGGGCAGCAGGTAGATATGGACCAGCAGGGGGAAGCCGTTGAGAAGTTTTTCCCAAATAGGATTCTTCCCTCCAGGTTTTGCTTCGTAAAGCTAATTCGAATGATAGCATAAGGGATTCTCAGATCCCGATCTCCACAACTACCCGCAGATTTCAAATTATCCGATTTTTCCAGCGGAAAAAAATTAATTGGGTTGAAACTGCGAATCTTCCGGGCGGATCTCTTCCCCGCCCAAACCACAAAATCCGGTAATTTGAATCCCACTGGGGCCGAGCTAGCGGGCCGTCGGGGTGTTTCTCGCCGGAGCGACTCACACCGCCGCGAGTCTGCCCGCCGTACCAGGTTCGCCAATTTATCCGTTTTATTTTATTGTTGGGAACACGGGACAGGAGTCACCAATGGCCTGGTCCCCAGACCCCTGCAATTACCAGAGTTATCACCGGTCCAAAGAGGCGCGATGAATACCGAAGAAAATCCCCCCATCACACTACTGGTGTTTTGGTGGGTTTCAAACTTTCGGCGGCGCGAGGGGATAGTGTCAATCATATCTTCCATCTCGGCCGACGAAGGTAGTCTGAAGCACCATGCTTCCACAAGCACATTCCTTCGTTTTTTCTTTGTCACGGAGTAGTTTTTATCACACTCCAAATCAGAACACACATCTTTCCGCTTCTTCCCTTTACACAGGGATCGGCTTTTAACTTGTCGCTCCGATGAGCAGCTCTCCTTGTCCGGTTTACCTTGATCAGGAAGAGACACCGATTGATTGGTTTTCCTTGCAACAGGGCATGCCCCTCCATGTGATTTCCACCCCTGGACTTGGTTGCGCAGGCTTGTAGCAAGAGTTTTCTGAACAACGCAGATGATCAGGCGGCTGAGGAAATTTCCCAGCCAGAGGAGAGAGGCGAGAGCATCTCTCCACATTTTTTTTTTGTCACTTGTTTCGTGTCCCGAACTTCTAATGTTACTATCACACCTTATTCTCAGAAGAAAACCATATATAGCTACATTTCCAAAATCCATTTGTAAAAATCTTCAAAGCTAACACAAGAGACGAGACGATCTGGTGACCTAATCCAAAAGGTTAGCCTACGGTAAAAGTAAAACCGGATGTAAACTGGATAGGAAACTCCATCTTTCCAGGGCCAATGCCCAATAGACACAGCATTACCAGTTTACCACACCACAATTGATTAGGTTTGTGGACAAAGCTGTGTAGAATAAAAATTCAACCTAAAGTCAAATATTTTTATGGGGTAAATTGCAAGTTTGGTCACTAGAATTACTATAAAAATTCATGTTTGCCACTCAAATTAATTTATTCCATTCGTAGTCACTTAAATTAGTCCAACCGTTCACGTTTGGTCACTCTCCGTTAGTCTCCGTTAGTTTTATTTGACGTGGCAGTCAACTCTGAGAGTTGACCGTTAAATAAGTGACGTGTCAATTAAAAAATAATAGTTTTTTATATTTCAAAAATACCTTTTTCATTATTAGAATAAATTTAAAAATATATAAAGCAAATAATTATTCCTTTTTCATTCTTCTCCCCAGATGCAACTCAGCCGCGAGTCCAGCCGGAACTCCTCGTCGGCTTCTCAGGCAAGGAGGAGGATGCCCAATAGGGAGAGGGACCATCGCTCCGGGAGCAGAGAGAGAGAGAGAGGCCCTGGCGGCAGCGGGAATGGAAAGCAAGTTAATTAGTAGATCGCCCGGGAGAAGATCTGACCGCTTCTTGAGTACGGGGCCATGGCGGCCACCTCTCTTTGAATTGAGGAAGACCACCATGGGGCATTACAATGCACCGGCGCGTCCTCGGTGATTTTCTTTTCGGCGCTATTGTGGTGGCGGTCGCAGGTCTCCGCCTCGTCTTTTGACCTAATCGCGTCGACCACTGCCTGCTGGAGGTATTCCGGCATGACGCGCTCCTTCCTCAGCACTTCCTTGTCGGTACAGACCCCCGAAAGGCCGCACCATGCACCAATGGCGGACCTAGAATTCTCGTACAGGTGTGTCAATCAATAAAATAAAATAAAATAATAAATAAATTCTCGTACAGGTGTGTCAGTCAATAAAATTAAATAAATTTTATTTATATTTTACTATGAAACACAACGAGAAGTTGGATCGAAAGAGGTAAAGGGAACACTAGGATTTTTTTTATAAGATGGACAATAATAAAGAGCGGTAGTCCATATGCAACTGGACTTCCGATGAAAAAGCATTTTTTTGTCACTAGGTGAAAAACTATGTGAAGGCTACAAGGATCAAGAAGAAACGAAACTCATTCAGGTAGAGAGAAAAGGAGAAAACTTCATTACGATTACCCTTGCCTAATACCTAAGAGCAATAAACCATTGAGTCTAAATGCTTAAGCAATGGAAAGAACCCCAAATTTGTCATAAGTGAACTAAAATTTAAAATAAATAATATATATTTACATATTTTGGGAACTTTATGACACCAATTATTTCATTGTAGTGTATTGAATGTGTCATTACAATTATTGAAGGTGTGTCGGAAGTCCTAAATTCCAAAAAATTATACCAACAAAACATGGATCTCTCATAAAATATTCGGGCGGGACACACCTCCCTAACAAATGGGTCCGCCCCTGCCATGCACGGAGAGAATTGATCACGAAGGATCTTGACGCTACAATCCTCATCATCGCCGACGAATCCATTGTCGCCGTTGACGATTCCACCGCCACTGTCGAAGTCGTCGTTAGGGGTGTCGGTTCGGGTCGGGTTCGATTACCCAAACTGAAACCCGAAAAAACCCGAAAACCCGAAACCGAACCCGAACCCGATAAGGACTTGCGGGTTTCGGTTACCCGAAACCCGAAAATTCCTTATCGGGTTCGGGTTCGGTTAAAGCAAAACCGAAACCCGAAAACCCGAGCACTTAAAAATACGGGCTGAGTTCTATTCATTGGATATTTTTATCCGAAACCCGAAAAACCGATAAGCAAAACCGAACCCGAAAAACCCGAAACCCGAAACGAACCCGAACCCGAAAAACCGAAAATGTATATAATCGGGTCGGTTTCGAGTAAACCCGAAAAACCGAACCCGAATGGACACCCCTAGTCGTCGTTGAAGTTGGTGAGTCCATATCTCCCTCTCTCTTTCTGCCCTCATCTCTCTCTCACTTGGTTCTATTATTCGCGGCGGTGCAGGGTGCGCGGGCGGCGGACGAAACCCCCCAAAAGCGAATACAGCAGAATGGAGGAAATATGTATTTATTTTATTATTTTAATAATGAGGTGGAATTTGTGAAAGATTAAAATTTATTATTTTATTAATTTTTTAATTGACACGTCACTTATTTAACGGTCAACTCTCAGAGTTGACTGCCACGTCAGATAAAACTAATGGAGACTAACGGAGAGTGACCAAACTTGAATGGTTGGACTAATTTAAGTGACTACGAATGGAATAAATTAATTTTAGTGGCAAACGTGAATTTTTATAGTAATTCTAGCGACCAAACTTGCAATTTACCCATTTTTATGGAGAGAGTCGTAACGCTTTAAATGTTGGAAGTCGACTGATGAAGAATTGGCTCCGATTCTGAATGTTCCTTTTTTGGATTTGATTGAAATCCTCAGAGCATGCCCTCGGAGATGGCAGTTGGGTTAGCATAATCTGGATGAAGCTTGGAAAAAAGACGGTTTTGAAAGTGGCTTGAATCTTCCTTGTCTGGAGTGGATTTGCAAAGTCTACGAAAATTTTCCTGAATGAGCCGTAGAAATTAAGTGTGATCATGTAATCTTTGTGGTGGGAACAGAATATGTTAGGAATGAATCCTTGTTGCATTAGGATTAGAGAGGAGGGTGCCAAGAACCGATTCAAATGAGGTTTGTTGTTGGCGGAGCGACGCTGTTTTCAATTAGTGATCGAATCTGTCTGTGAAATAAGCAACAATGTGTCGTAGAACACAAATTTCAACTTGTTCATGCAAACTTATGTGGCCCCAATACTCTAATTTCCAATAGGGATAAAAAGATAAATTTTTACTCTCATTGATGACTGCAACGAGAAATTATGGTTTTCTTCATAGGCACGAAGTCTAGTTTCTTGAATGGTTTAATAAGTTCATAGCTCGAGTTGAGAAAGAAACTGAATTATCTAATCTTTGTGTTAGAATAGATATGAGATGAGAATTCTTGTTGAATGAATTCTATGTGTGGAAACTGGAATGAAATTGCAGTGACCCCTCTCTAAGTTGGCTTTTTAGGTCCTTAATTTCTATCTTTTTGAATAATGCAAATAATTATTCAAAAAAAGTGTGGATGGACTATATGGGAATGTAGGGTGGGATCAATTTCGAGAAAAATTATATGACAATCAATGATTATATTATCCAATGGTCACTTTTTCGCATTTTTAAAAAAGAACAACTTGATTTTCAATTTGTGATTGGCCACATCTAGGTGTTTGATGGTGGCCTGATAGCACTCTCTCGCCAGTTGGGAATTTCCTCTTTCGCATCCCACTCCATTGCCGACTGGAAACTTTAACCTCTGGTGGCATGTGGATGGCACTGCCTCGAAAGAGGTAGAGAAAACCTCACCCCAAAATGGCATTGTACGCGGAAGGACATTCCGCTACATGGAACTCCATGGGTTTGGTCTTCGTGACGTTCCTTCTCCTATGGTCACGCGCAACGTGATTACGCCCAGCACTTTGATTTTTTATCCGGAGAAGCCCACCAGCTACGTTGTTGATGGTTTAAGGTCTTCCACCCCTTTTTTCATACTCTTCACCGTGGAAAAGAAGAGGGTGTGGCGGAGCTCCCATTATCGATTAGGGTCTTGGTAATTTTGTACTTCTCTGTGCGGAAGGATATGACCAGAGGATCCTCTGCTGCTTCCGGACTTGCCAATTATGAGGCGTTGAAGATTACCTCGGCAGACGTAGATGCTGTTACCGCCATGCATTACGCGTCGTCCGCCGTCCTTGGTCTCTTTTTCCTTCCCCCTGATATCGTGATTACCTCGAAATCGTCTTCGTCGAGGCGCGGCTGCCTCCTCGGAGGTGGAGCTCTGGGCGGGGAGGGTAGTCTTTCTCTTCTCCTTCCGCGGGAGCGAGACCTTGACCTATTCCTTGGTGACCTGGACCGACTCCTTCTGGGGGTCCTGGAGTGGTATCTCCTTGGAGACCTTCTTTGTCTTTGTCGAGGCGATTGCGATCTTCCTCTTTCCTGCCTCTTTGCCTCGAGTCGGTTGCGTAAATCTCCGGGCGCTAAATTAGCTAGGCTCATTTGGAAGTCGCGGCAGTCTGCCGTGCTGTGCGTTGCTTTTTGGTGCCAATCGCACCATCTTCTGAAGACTGGGGCTTCGGGCCGCCTGGGGTCCTCGGCCCGAGCCTTATCACTGCGCCTCTAATTGGAATTCGCCCCACCTTTTTCACGGTCTGCCGCGTAGATTTCTCTTTTGTTTTCTCCCCCTCACGCCTTCGCCTTGTAACCATACCGCTCGGGCGATCTTACCTTCCTCAGAGAGGTCTGGTTTCCCCTCTTCACCTCCTTCCCTCTATGTTTTTCCTTATTGCCGGTTGACGTTATCCGCGTCGGCGGATTTAGAGCTTCTTCCAGAATTATCGCGCGTCGGACTAGATTATCCAAGTCCGGCCATGTGTTCAGCTCTTGTTCTCTTTTGATTAAGGCTCTTTGGAGCTCCTGGCTTTGTGTCAACATCCTTAGGTTGCCCGCAGCTACATTGGGCGTGATGCCCTGGACTTCGCATGTGATGGTGTTCCATCTGTCATAGAAATCCACCAACGCCTCTCCTTCTCTTTGCGTGCAGTTGATAAGCGCTGAGATCGTCAGCCTGCGGCGGATCTGGGATGCGAATTTAGACGAGAACAACGTGTCAAACTGCTCGAAGTTATCAATGATTCCTTCTGGCGGCGAGGTGTACCAGGAGCGACACCTTCCTCCAAACGTTATCGGGAATGTGTTGCAAATGTCCGCGTCCGTGGCATTGATTAGATGCATTTTCAGTGTGAACGCACTTAGATGGTCCCCCGGGTCCGTGCTTCCATCGTAGGTTGAGAGGCCCAGCGACGAGAAGTTGGGAGGCACCGGATTTTTGAAGAGTCTTTTGGCTAGCGGGTTGTGCAGGACGCTCGGCCCCTTACCCTTCGTGCTATGCTTTCCGAAGCTGGACTGTAGGTGCTCCTCTAGGAAGCTGAGGTCAGCCTCAGGCTCTTCGTCTTCGGCCTCCTCTTCTGGCTCGTTGATCACGACCATTTTCTTCTTACCCTTATCCCGTTGCACTCCTAACGCCTTCGGAGGATTATCCTGTTCTCTCATCCCCTCCTTAATCAAAGTGAGGATCTGGCTTATGTTGTTCTGCATCTCCGATATCTGCTTCCCGTGGTCCTTGACTTGATCTTCGAGCTCCACTGCTTCTTCAACTTCTGGGGAGAGGCCGCGGAGCGTGCGCGATTCCACGACTTCTTTCATGGGGGTGGTGGAGTTCCCTGCCATCGAGAGGAAAGTACTGTGATCCCTTCAGAAACGGCCCCACGGTGGGCGCCAAATTGTTTAAGCCTAGAATGTTCCAAAGCGTGATTGAGGCTTCTCTGTAGGAATCCTTGTCTTTCCTCTGACGCAAGCGTGCTCCTTATCTGCAAAAAGGATCCGGAGGCGGGGGCCTCAGATACTCTCCGACGCTTAAGTCAGTTTAGATAGAGAGAGAAAGTAGAGAGAGAATTGGGGTAGATGAGTTACCATTAAATGATGTGGTTGGACTTGTATTTATAGTCTGTGAGGGTAGGTATGGGCAATTAATGCTCTGTTGGGCGTGTATCTGACATGCTCTTTTCGTACTTTCGCCTACGGTTGCATTTAATGCTGTCAGAGTAGCTATGATTACTGCTACTACGGTCTTGTCGAGTTTACCTTCCCT